AAATATTATCCATGAGCATTATTGTAATTGTTTTGAAAACAGAGCAGAGGAAGCATGAACCACGTCTTCTCTCCAAGAACTCCCGAAGCAACGGGTACAGGAAGTAAGCTCTAGCTTCTACATGAAAACTGTGAGGTGGCCTCCCCCGTGAAGGGGAGGTCAGTACTTTGAAGCATTTGAAAAGTACAATGACAACTATACTGCATATAATTAATGTTTCAATGCTTAAGACCCTCAACATAAGGTGTTATCATATTTCTAGGAAATAACCCATAGTTACCCCTTTCAAAACATACATAAGTATATAATGTCAAATAGTCGGCACAAAGGCCCATTTGTATTTGTCAAAAAACCCTTTGCATCGCCACGCGATAAATTATTTCCCCATTTGTATTTAATAATACAAATCGTGTCGCCCTGCGATAATTCAAAAATACAATTTGTATCGCCCTGCGATAATTCAAAAATACAATTTGTATCGCCCTGCGATAATTCATTACATTAATAATTCATACAATTTAACCCAAAGGTCACATCAATCATACAGAACCTGTCACCGCTATCCAAGTCCTCGCAGAGCACTCGGTCGGAGTCCAGCATCCTGCCCCTGGACTCGTACCCTGTTCCCGTAGGAAGGTAAGGCTCATTCGGGGTCCTATCTTATGTGTTACCGCTGTCAAAACCTCGTAAGGTCTTTAATTCAGATTCCACCCTTAGACGTGATCAAGCTGTAAGTCCATGCTATCCAACTCGCTCTCTAGAGCCAAGCAGGACCATGGTCCTTACATCTACCCTATTATGGGCCCATGCAGTCCGGCACGATCCTCAGACTCGTCCGACCCATGACCCTCATTGATAAGTCCATTTTTGTACTTATTTTTCTTATCAAATTTAAGCGATTTTTGAATGATAATAGAAAGAAAAGACACATTTTATATATTTTGGTTCAAGTTTCATGAAATCAGGTAAAAATCACATCCATAATATGTTTAGCGGGATTTCGGGTCAATTGAGCACAAAATGAGTCAATTTGAGTGACAAATGCATTTATACCGGAAGAAGCAAACATTTTATCAAGGTGATTCAGAAGACAAAGTTGAAGAGCAAGAAAAGCCGCATCTGCCAGACAAAAGTGGCCGAAGGCGCCCAAATAGGCGCCCAAAATGGAGGCCTTCGCGGCCGCCTACGGGAAAATTCAGAAGTCAACCTCGCTTTGACTCGGGACCAGGAAAAGACCGAAGGCTGCCGACACTGGACAGAAGGCGGCCGCCTACGGTGGCCGCCTGCGGCACAAGGGGACGAAACCAACCACCGGTCGGCCAGACAAGATGGCAGGCGGCCAGACAGGACGGCAGGCGGCCGCCTGCTGGACCGCCTGCGGCGGCCGGGGTCCGCCGGGATCCGTCGGGATCCGATCTGCCAACGAAAAGATGGCAGGCGGCCATTTTTGACAGAAGGCGGCCGCCCTCTGTGGCCGCCTACGGCTGACGGGACCGCCACCGACGGTCTGCCGGCGACAGGACGGCAGGCGGCCAGAGGCTGCCGGAAGGCGGCCGCCTGCCCGGGCGCCTACGGGAATTTTTCGGCTATAAAATCCAGGCTTTTTCCTCAACTCAAATACACCAATTTCAAGCCCAAATCAGATCAAAAAGGGCGTCTTCTTCCTCCTCAAAGCTCGGATTTCCACCATTGTTGCACCTTCAACTTCAATCTTTCATATCTTTCTCATTTTAGCTCCAAATTGTGAGTTCTTTATATGTATTTTCATCCTTTCAATGAGTAGAATCTGAATCTGTACTTAGTTTTTTTTTATCTGTGCTTCTAAAATTTCCAGAAAATTACTCAACTATTTCGCATTTTCGTCTTAAATTTGAATAAAATAGTTGTTGACATTAAATCCATTCCAATTAATTATATAGTTGTTTACTAGCCTCAAGGTAGTTATTTATCAAAACAAAGTTAATTTTTATGAAGTAGAAGTAAATTTTAATTAATTCCGGCATTTAGTGGTTATTATTGCATAAATTAAATTAAATACTCAAAAAAGGAAAAAAATTAGTTTCTGTCCTAATTCCAGTTAAATTCACAGTAATATCACTCCTAGTATTCAATATAAAATTTAGAACGAATTTAGAATATTTGTAGTTGCTTTTTTTGTATTTTCTAGTTAATATTGGGAAAATTATCAATTAGTTGTTAAAATTGGATTTTAGGTTATAAAATTCGGGAAAAATTCCAGAAGGTGATATTTTAGTTCTACAAGTTTATTTTGGAAGAATATTATTTTTGTTTAATTTTTGCTATTATACATGCTTAATTCCTTGTTAATGTTGAATTTATTCATTGTATTGTTAAATGAAAAAATGATGTTTATTAGCTAAATTTGTTTTGGGCATGAATTGACTAAAGGAATATGGATTGACTTGTTGACCGAAAATTAGGGATTAAAATTAATAATTTGGACTAGTTGTTTGAAATGATGAAATAGTAATTAATAATTGTTAGCCATATTCATTAATTAAATTCTTGGAAAATTATTTCTAACTTGTCTATGAGATTAGAAAATAATTTAAGCCAACCATATTCAAGCACATTAATAAGGCCTAGAAATAGGATAATTTAATGAAAGGGATTTACATCTTGTCTATGAGAGATAAATTCAATTGCTTAAATAATGAGTTTAACTAGTTAATGAATTCGGCTATTTTTATTAATTAAAATATTGGAGAATTATTTCTACCTTGTCTATGAGGTTAGAATTTAATTCAAGCCAACCATTTTTGAACACATTAATGACACCTAGAAATAGGATAAATTAATGAAAATAGTTTCTATTCTTGTCTATGAGGAAAGAAATTATTAGTCCAATTTTAGTTTTAATTTCCCTAATTACTAGGTCCAAGAATATATCCATTTCTAATTACTCAATTCATTGCCCTTATTTGCACCAATCCATTTAAGTTTAATATTATATTTTTTCCTTTAGTCTATTTTTGAGCCATCATTAGTATTTGCACAATTTAATTTACTTTCTTTTCCAAAAAGTAGTTTAGAAAATCAATCAAAAGTTTTAATTTGGAAAGCTTCCAATAATTTGCGATAACCTGTGACTGGACTTGAAATCAAGAAGCTCCTCCGCCATCCCTCGAGAGACACGATACTCGGGGAAAACCGAAAGGTTAGACTCCGTTTTACTACAACGCCGCGAAAGCGGTTATCACTCATCTATCTATATTAGCAAGTTCATGTGGTCGGTCATATATCCTTAGACTAGAGCCGAGCCATGACCCTTGCTACCAATCAAACAATCAATTACGGGTATCCTAAAGACCACCCGGATAATAATATCAACAATCCAATCCTAGGATAATTATATCATTTAAATCATCTAAGGCTATCCCAAATGAATACCCCAGTGACGAAGCATCACAATCCTAAACTTAGGATTATTTTATAAATGTTCATACTATAACCTCGGACTAGTCACTTAGTACCACCCGAGTTATTCTTAGTTCAAATTCTCTTTCCCTTTTAAACAAACATGGCGGCCATGCCATGACTCATTCTCACTTCATTCTATATTGACTTTACTAAGAATAAAGTCAATATAATTAAATAGTGATTAATAAAACATTTTATTAGTTCATCACTAAATCAACTAGAACAACTTCTCAAACATATCAAGTAATCATGCTCCAATTACTTATACCTCAATCAATCATGCATCAACTCTTCATATACAACAATATGATCAATTGACACTTTACTTGGCATATTAGTTAATTAAAATCATGCTTTTATAACATTAGGTGATCTCATGAATTAACCCACTAGTTATAAACAATATAGTCAGTCATCCTTACATTATGATGTGCTCAACTAGTTGCCTTTGCTAAGCCCTTCATCTATCCCCGTTCTAGGTCGATTGAAAGTGAAAATTCTGGACAGCAGACAAAAGCCGGGCGGCTTTTGCAAAAGGTGGGCGGCTTTCGGGCCTGCAGCTCGAAAACAGTCCCCAACAATGACGGTTTCCGGCGATTTCAACTCCTATCGATTCCACGACCCTTCTAAGTTAATTACCACCACTATATATCAATATAATACACTTTTAAACGTGTAGAACCTCTTGCTTAATCCACCATATGATTCATTAAAAATCATTCAAAAATAATACTAGTTAAAAGGACTATTTGAGTTCTTACCTTGATTCCTTGCTATTTTCTCTTGGATTGCCTATCCTCCTTCTTCCTCCAAGGTTGCTGGTTTTGAGAGTTCTCCCTAGACTCCCTTATCTCTCTATTCTCTTCGTATGGTGCAAATGAAAGGGAGAAAATATCTTCCCACCAACTAGTTCTTAATAATAGGGAGAGTAGGGCCTTTAGGATGTCTCCATATGTCTTCTCCCATACCTCTCACCCATATGTCCTCACATAGCATTTTAGTTTGTCTCCAATACATTATTTGGAGACCACACGTCATGTAGGAAGATCCCCAAGTGGGTGTAGGAAGTCGCTCTCAATTATTATTGCTATTTTTGGCAGGTTTGGTCAAAATAGCATTTGGGTTATGGACCCACTAAATAATTTAATTAATCATTCATTAATTAAATGTACCATTCTTTTACACAATATTATTCGCCAGGAAATTCAAATACATGTTGAATTTTCAAATTCAAAGTACATCCGGGTGCAGTGTCACACCTTACATATAAATTTAGAGCATCTTCAATGGTAAAATGTGCACGGTGCACAAGTGGCATGAGAAATAGCCACATAAATATTAGTAAATAAATTCTTTCTCTCCTTATTTGAATGATTTTATACAATTTTGATAAAGTTTTCTCTACAATGTCAAGGAGACCGTCTAGATGTTGACATTGCAGGGAAAAACTTACTAAAATTGTATAAAATCATTCAAATAACGAGAGAGTTAATTTATTTGCTAATATTTATGTGGTTATCATTCATGCCACATGTGATGCTCTTATCCAGATACTTCAATGTCATACAAATATTCAACTTTTTTATATTATTCATGGTTGAAACTTGTTCTTTTAACATATTAGATGAAAGAACTTCAATACATTCTCGAATACATTTCAGAATCAGGATAGCAGTATCTATAAGTGATACCAGAGCATATCACAAATAGATATGAAATTGAAGCATTAAACCAGTAACAGTTAAGGGTAGGAGTTAAAGCAACACAATCACTTGTTCTACTCTGTTCTGGAAGGTATACAACAATCTTCATCCTCATCAATAATCGTTCCATTCTTCAGAGCCTGGAAGATTACAGAGCTCTTGTCGAAAATCTGGGCCCTCCGATTGTAATCCGACGGCTCTCTTCCTTCATCGTCGCCCATTATCGCCTCCCTCTCCAGACATTCCAACAGCTCAGCCACTCCACCCTTCACCTCTTTACACTTTTTTCTCACTATCCCCATCCCCGCCACTTCCTCCGCCAGTTTCCTTTCCCACTCCGGTGCCGGACCGCCCCTTCCGCCGCATTTCACGGACTTCGGGATTCGCCGGCCGCCGAACCGCAACGCCGGGAAGGGGGGAATCTTGGTTCTGTGTGCGGAAGCGCGTGAGGGGAAAGCGCGTGGCGGACAAACAGATTCCATAGACAGCCCAAAAGACATTACGGTAGGTGAAGAGATTTTTTTACAATGAAAAAGTCACGTGAGGGTTTATTTTACCAGTAGGAATGAATCGGTGGCGTGGAATTTATACAAGGGTCGTATCTGCCACGTGGCAAAAGCCATCAATCGGAAGGAATGAGAACGTGCCATGTGGCCGTCTAGAATATTCAGCGGCGCCCAATAATACAAGATCCTCGCGGCCGGTGGCTAATGAGTAATGATGTTTGTGTCGCTCGTTTATCCTTGCGTGTGCAATTACGTATTCAGTTGCGTAATAAAATTGCACGTTTTGGTCTTCTAATTTCCTTGACCCATCGTCCTCAAATTTCTAATAGGAATTTTGGAAAATCATATTAATAGGAATTACGTATTACGTATCATTTTGTATCTTGCATTGAAATGACACGATTATTAATAAAGTGATTAAAAAAATAAAAATTATGGTTGAGATTTGAGTATAATATAGTGAAATGTTATAGAACATATATTTATTTCCAAGAGAAAATGAGACACTTAATTCGGGACAAGACAAAATGAAAGTGGGACAGGTAAAATGAGAACAAGGGGGGACATGTTGTATCGAATACTTTGATTATGTGTATTAGTAGAAAACTTAATTTGATTAGAGTAAGATATGTGAAAATGCAAAAATCATAATAACGCAACAATTAAAGAATGGAGGAAGTACAAGAGAATTATGACGGAACTTCCTTGTTATGTTTGAAGTATAAGGTGTAAATACGCTTGAAAACGCATACTTATACAATTCTGTGACTGTTATGTTAACGTAAACAACTTATGTTGGTGCAAACAATACTACTATACGCAATAAAAAAAGGGAGTAGGTAAATTCCTAATTTTTTTTAGGGAGTGGGTAAATTCCTTATTGATATACTACGTATATGTCAACATGTACATTTTGGGTGATAAAGATGTTGCACATTTGGTGTGACAAATTGGCATAAATGATGTTATGTTTGTAGTAAATACATTAACATATCGTGTAAATATGTCTACAAATACTCTTTACTTAGGTAGCTCAACAGTAGTTGAGTACGTAAGACAATTGGATTGAGGTACAATTAAACAAACTATTTTCTCAAAGCTCAAGAGAAACTTTTAATAATAATCTTAATAGTTATAATTAGGGGTGGACAAAGGGGTCTAGAACGATAATAGTTGAGTAAGACAATTGATTTGAGGTACAAGTTTAAACAAACGGTTTTCTCAAAGCTTGAGAGAAACTTTTGGTAATGCTCTTAATTTTTATAACTAAGGGTGGACAAACGGGTCCCGGATCAAGACGGATAATAACGGTGGGTGCAGAGCGATTCTGATTTTAGGAAAGAAAATGGACCATGGCGGCCCCTTAAATTATACTTTTACTTTTTAATTGCCCAAGCCACTAAATTAGTAAATCACTGTTTTAAACTTGTAGAAATTATCACGATAAAAAAAACTTGTGGAAATGACCCGTTTGGACCACTTTTTAGGGATGGATATCTTTTATGTCACCCGATTATTTTTCTTTCAATTTTAAACTTTTCACTTTAAAGTTTAATGTTTCAAAACCCGTCAGATTAACCTTAAATCAGGCAGTTCAAAGTTTAGTTTCAAGTTCTTTATTTCCATCGCCGATTTCCAACTGGAGATGGACGATGACTATGTTCCGTGCCTCTCCGTCCTCAAAGCCTCAACGCATGAGATCGTCTGGTTCTCATGATCCTATAGCCATCGATGGATAGAGGGAGCTAGGGAGAGAGAAACAGAGCTCGCACAAGAGAAGACAAGACGAGAAGGCGATGTTGTCTTTGTACTGTAAAAATAGAACTCGATCGATCTTATCATTTATGTCTCTGTACTGTAGCTCCCTTCGAGAAGAAGTCAATTTGATATTCTGTTAAGAGAAGGAAGACGGTCTTCATGGTTGATGTTTGTAGAAGAGAGGTCGGTTCAAATGTAGCTACCACTTCCTTTTTCCGATTGACAACCTTTTACGGCCTGTTTGGATTAAATGTTTAGAGGTGTTAGTCGGGGCGGAGCCAGGATTTCACGGGGGGCAAGAACGAAAACGCGTATATACATAAACATATTTTATTGAAATTGATGAAAGAACGAAAACGCGTATATACATAAACATATTTTATTGAAATTGATGATTAATTAGTTTTTCACCCGTGCGTTGCACGGAATATAATTTGTAAGTATTAGAAATATAATTAAGTAAAGTCACCTGTGAATCCGTTTATAAAATTGAATTACTTCGATATTTTTTAGGGAAAAATAATTAAAATATCCCAAACTTTGAAGGGGTGTGAGGTAAACACCCCAAACTTACATATGTAATTTAATATCCCAAACTTTATATATAAAGTTATTTTGGCACCATGACCATGTATTATTTCTTTCAAAAATGCTAAATCTTGGTTTCCATTTCATAATTTAGAATATTTTAACAATCATGAAGATACAATTAGCATTCTAAATTTCGATTGTAAAAAAAAATAATATTTCCCACACTCTTTATAATTGCAACTTTTTAATTTGTTATTTTAAATTATGCAATTAGCACCATAAATTTACATTTTTTTAAATAATACATGACTATTTTGCTAAAATAACTTTCTATATAAAATTTGGGATATTTAAATTACATATGAAAGTTTGGAGTACTTATATCACTCTCCTTCAAAGTTTGAGGCCATTTAATTGTTTTTCCTTATTTTTTAAAGTTATCCAACATCTACTGCCCATTTATTCAGAGAAATCATCTCATCAGGCCGGCCTGACGGGCTGCCCAGTACAGCCGAGCCCGTTTGGGCAGATTCCCGGTGGAATTTTTTGATGAAATTTTTTGAGCATGTTCCTCATCAAGTCTAGTTTGTACATACCAAATTTCAGCTCAAAATTCGATCGGGAAGGTTGTCAAATGATTTTTGCAAGTTAACTAGCCCGGAATATGTATTTTCCGGACCAGTTAACTTGCAAAAATCATTTGACGACCTTTCCGATCAAAGTTTGAGCTGAAATTTGGTATGGACAAACTAGACTTGATGAGGAACATGCTCAAAAAAATTCATCAAAAAATTCCACCGGGAAGGTACCCAAACGGGCTCGGCCGGACGGGGCAGCCCGTCAGGCCGGCCTGATGAGAAGAGCTCTCACATTTATTCATTATATAGACCAAGACCTTGAAGATAGAATCTCATACTAAGGATGTTTTTACTTGAACTCTTTTCATTCCAGATCAGACCAGACTTAAACAGACCAGACCAGACCTAAGCAGACCAGATCAGACCGGACTTGACTTTCTTAGTTACTACGTATAAAATACACAGAACCAGAAGTTTACAGACCAGACCAGACCATATTTAAACGGACCAGACCAGTCCAGCAAATTACAATCCAAGGTTTATTTCATGCGGTACATTACTTATACACATAGATTTGGACAGATTGTATTGTTTGTTTCTATTATATCTTTGTATTTAAGTAGTGATAGATATGTCGATATATTTTTACATGTGTAATAATAAAAGAGGTCCATTTTTATTTTATCTATATACACACAAATATGTATATATGCACCTTTTTTTTTATTTAACATTTTTAATGGATGAGGGCGTGAATAATAATTTGATCAAATTCAAAGGATTATTTGACCCTTTAAATTGCCACATCATATGCATAGTTGGCACCTTACCGGGTGACGTGGCATTGATCGAACTGTTGCCCGCAAAAAATTAAATTTGAGTCCTTTTATTTGGTTTAGAGTGTCAATTGAAGCTTCTTTTTTGTTTAGGGTGTAAATTGAGCATTTCAAATGAGTACAAAAGCCTATTTTTAATTAATATGAAGTACATAAATATTGTTAGGTGGGTGCAAATTAAAATTAGTATTATTAGCAAAAGCATGAAGAAAGCAAGGCATGGAGAACTTATGAAGAACAACGCTTAGAAATTCAGTAATTTGACAACATAAGCTCGTATCGTTACATTGTTTTGACAAACCTTTGAATAATACAGCAGTAGCTTTGACAATTCCTTTTTGTAACTAGGGGTGGACTCGGGCCAGTTTGGGCCCGGTTCGGGCCTGGGCCCTGCCGGGCCTCGGTTCATGAAAGGGGAGGCCCGGAACCGGCCCGGTTAACCCCCAGGTCCGGGTCGGGTCGGGCCGGGCTAGGCCGGACCTCGCTTCAATTTTTTTTGGCTTTTCCTAATTAACCCCCAACCCCCCCCCCCCTCACCCCCAAACCACCTCAAATGGCCCAAAATACCCAGCCCAACCCAAAAACTTAAAAAAAAATCAAAAGAAAAAAAGAGAAAAAAAATTTGGCCCGGACAGGGCCCGAACCGGCCGGGCCGGTTCACCTTTTGAGGGGCCCGAGCCCGGAACCCCAGCGGGTTGGCCCTACCCGGACCGGTCCCTGGCCGGGCCGGCAGTTCGGGCCGGTTCAAACAGTGACAGGGTCGGGCCGGTTCCGGGGCGGGCCGCCCGGCCTGAGTCCACCCCTATTCGTATCCATGGGATAACATATAAAACTTCCTTGAATAGAAAGAGTATGAAGCTTTTGTCAGCAAGAAAAATCAATTCCGAACTACCAAAGTGAGCAAAGTGTTCTGCTAATTATGCGTCTAAAAACCATATTATCTTTCAAGTAAAAGAAAATTCCTAAGTTGCCACAATGTAGTACGTACCAAACAATACATTCTTAGTACACTGGGATTGACACCATATTTGGAGATCAATAAAAGCATGTGCTACATATTGGATTTGATTTGAAATATGCAATACATCTAAATCAACACCATATTTAGACCAACAATGCATTTCATAACTCTTAGGACCTGAAAAAAGCATATGAATATATATAGTGAGGAGGATAGGACACATCCCACAATATAGTAACAACCAACTCATTCTCAGTAAACTCAAATCACCCGCCATATATAGATCAATGGAAGAATGTGTTATATATTGGTTTATAAATATATAATACGTCTAGATCAACATCATATATTTGGAGGATACGTTGTCCTTAGCACAATTAGCTGAGGATTAAATGGAGTACATGATTTTAAAGATAAAGGGGTTGAGCTATGTCAGTCCATAATTAGTTCTTCAAACCACAAAAGTTTTTGGCAGTGGTAAGTTCAACAAAGTGGTTCAAGACAAAACAGGTTACTACATCGTCTTGGAGAGATACTTCATGATTGAGAACGTCTGAAAGGCTAAAAAGTTAGACGAGACCATGAAGAGGCCTTACCAAAGAATAAAACCCCAGGTGCATTATTAAAAACTTCATGAACAATGATCTCACTCTCCAAACCACATGGTGAGCAGTTCAGGCCCTTTGAAACTTATCAGGTTGGTTTGATACTCATTTGCTAGTCTTGCCGTCAAAGTTTTTCCATACACTGGTGGGCCGTAAATAGAACACCCTTTGAGGGTGATATAATAAAATTCTCGAATTTCTTTGGGTGCTACACAGGATGTTGAACCGTCTAAGTGAATGATACTCCCTCCCTCCCGAATTATAAGATATTTTTCGGTTTACGATGTTTGACCGACGATAAGCAAATGCATCCCTGTCTGCACTCAAATTATTTTTAGAAAAAAATACATATTCAAAAACTACATTAAAACCACTACAAAACCTGCAAAAAATAATTCAAATTTCATTAAAAAATTTGATATACAAAGTAAGAGATTAAGAGTGATTTGTGTTGACCAAGTGAATAGTAAAGATATTTTATAAAATGGGACAGAGGGAGCAGTAAATAAGTTATACCATACACTAAAAATACTTTAGGTTAGGGCATTACATGCTAAGAAAAACTAATAAAATAACTTTTGCATTACCCTTGCAGCTCTATTTTAACATTTCCAAGGGCTGTGGTGTCGCATTAGCTTACATCGGGCACTTACACAACCTGAGCGTTGAAATATAGAAGAAGTAACATTGTGTTCTCAAAACTATATCATTTCATCACAATATAAAAGTTCATAATAAAACATAGCTATGGTTCTGCCAGATCATAATCTATTAGTATTATATTTGAGCATACTTGAATAAATCAGAACTATAGTTTATAGCTCTTAATAAGCTGGAATACCTTATAAAGAATTTTGTGCAGCCTTCATCTTAGGAACTCCTCATGAGCTGATTCCTCGATGGAATTCGGAATTAACTAACATGAAATGAGTGTTTGAAATAACTACCTTTTTGAAAAACTCGTTTGTAATACACCCTAATTTTGAAATATTGTTTGTGAAAACCTTCACCGAATGACATAAACTAACAACGTAAAATAAACATCTCTTATGCTCTTTTGAATTAATTTTTGAGATCTTGAACTCCTTGAAATCCATGGTGGATACCACGACTCAAAAAGTGAAGAACAAATAACAAACTGATAATTAATTTTTTTTTCTTTAGGAGTTCTTTAAAACTATAGATGGATTAGTCTAAAGATTTTCTTTACCATATTTAAAGCTGATATGAAGTCTATTTAGATGACTATTTTTCTCTTGATATGTTCTCATTCTCACAATTTGCATATTCTCTTAAAAATTGAGATGAATGACCCATGAATTCTCAAATTAATCTAACTTTAGATATTTTTTAAGTTAAGCTGCTCTAAATGCAATCAATAACAATAAACCTATCATCAAAAAGAAAATTTCAGCCTCAGACCCTTGTGTGCAACTTTAAGAATAGAGGTAAACAGCTAGTTTATAAACTATATAATACATCGAATATACTATATAGTGTATAAACTATATAGTATATCTAATAATTCATTGAAGCAAAAAAGAAGAAAGAACAAACAAAGTGTGTATAAGAGATGAAGATGATGTACTGTACCTAAATCACTGTCTTTGAGCACACAAAGAGGCCGTTTGGCAACACTTTTTTCGGCTTATCAGGCTTGTCAGTCAATTTTTTCATCAAACACGTAACTTTTACTTTCGCACGCTAAATTGTGTAATAAGCAGAAAAAGTAAGGTTGGAGTTACTTTTTTGGCTGTATTGGCTGAATTTACTGTAGATGACCATTTTAGCTATTTCTACATATAATTTTTTCTTTATTTTATTAATAAAATATATTTTAAAAATAATTTTTTCTTAAATCAGCAGAATCGGCCAATGCAGCCACTTCAGCCAGAGTTTAATAAATTTCAGCAGAATCAGCCAAATCCGCTGATTTTCTTGCTACCAAACAGGCTCAAAATCTTCAATTCTCTTCCAGTCACTATCAAATTGATAGACATTGTTTCTAAAATCTAAATGACATTGAGGTTAAACAAATAATTAGTCCAAAAATCTGTGTAATAATAATTACAAAATAGACAAAAATATGGATTCAAAATGGTAAATTGAATCAAACGTAAAATAAAGATATTTTCCTGAGGTACTAATGTTTATATGGGTATGAGTGTATGTGTCACCAATGAGTGTTAGACATCATAAATGCTTTTTATTCAACTTCTCTGCCTCTTGTTATATGTTAAAATGTTTGATAGGATTTGTATTTAAAAAAATAGCTAACATCGGATTATAAAGGCAGTTTACAAAAACAAAATAAAACTTCGGCAAATTAGTTAAGGAAAAAAAAAGGAGAATATTAAAGCTTACCCTAGGGTGGTGTTGGTGCGTAAATATATCTCTGAGACTCCTAAGCATAGCATTATCTCCTGTCAGGGGCAGAGCCAGGGCACTGAGCCAGTACAAATAATATTTTTGAAAAAAAAATGCACGAAGTTTTTTACACTAAACATAAAGACATTTTTAAAATTTGGGCTGAACCAGGGCCAGGTCTGGCCCACCCCTGGCTACGCCCCTGACTCCCGTAAATTAAAGAAAAGAACGATTGAGATTAACAAATGATATGTATGAAGTACAACTTGGGTAGAACCAAACATATTGCATGTCATCTACTACTGGTATATTTATAGCAGATAGATTGATTTTATGAAGAAATCAATAAGTCCCAAAAAATAGGTAAAAATTAGTGAGCTTTAGCTTATCATCTTTTTTGCTAGGAAAGTGAAGATTTCAATTCTTAGAACCGGTGCGGATGTGGTCATGAAGAAGAAGGGTCTCAAAGTGAAGATTTCAATCTTAAATGAAATTGCAGGAAGTGTTTCTTGGTGCCGGTTGAATTGGAGCAGGCGTCCGGTAAGGAAGAAAACAGAAGAGGAGAGCAGACGGAGAAAGATGAAGGCGGAAAAGAGGAATATATGAAACAAATGAGAACATGGAAAAGAATGAACGGTTGAGGAGATAATGAACACTAGAGACATCAAATTGAAAAAGAAACTAAAGAAACTAAAGAAATTGAAAAAGAAAGTAAAGAAACAGAAGAAACTGAAGCAAAAATCGGGGGGGGGGGGGGAGATAAGAGAAAAGTCTAGGAGCAAAAACAGAAGCATTTAATTTAGTTTAAGGTAGTTTCTATGGTACCCATAAGGTACCATATCTTTGTCCACATGGACCAATGAAAAGGTAGCAGTTGAATTATTTAAAGGTGACAACTCCGGTACCCATTTAAAAAATAGGGTAGTAAGGGTACCGTACCTACCATTCACTTGATTGGTCCACACTATTATATGATCACTTTTAATTTGTATTTAAATAATTCAACTACATCATTCTAATTGGTCCATGTGGATAAAAGTATGATACCTTAAGGGTACCATAGAATCTACCTTATTTAAATCTAAATTAAAATTGATAAAGTGATGTGATCCAATCAAATGAATGCTAGATACGGTACCCCTATTTTTAGAAGGTATCAGAGTTGTCACCTTAGTTTAATTACAATAATTATACCGTGCATGTAGGATTTGGTGTGAGAAGCGGGAAAAGTTTTGGGAGGATGGATTCTCCCTTTAGGTAGATTTGAAATATTTGAGATCTTGTAGGACAACTACAACAAAACAATGTATCAATATCTTAAGATATTATAGTGAATGTTTAATTTCCAAAAATCAATCTCTTACTACATGTGTGGATTATGTTTAAGGAAAGAAAATTAATTACTAGGAAGTGATTTTTCTGTTTGGTTTTGCAACACAAACTTCAAAGGGAATTAAATATAATTGATATTATTAAATTTGTTTTCATACTTAATTATATCATTTTTAACTATACAAAAAGAAATATAAGATGAAATTCATCTCACGTCAAAGTGTTTTCTTCCCTAACACTTTTCAAGCTTAAAAGAGTCTTATAAATTGAATAGTTTTAATATAATTAGAATTTATAAAATGGTAAATCTAAGATTATATATCTATCAATTAATCATAATTAGTACTATGTTTCACTTCAAAAGAGATTGTTGAGTTTAATCCAACACGATATAGTAAATATATGTATAAATGTGTATGAACAACTCAATTTTTACGTGGAAACCCGAAAGGGAGAAAACCACGGGACTTTTTAGGCTAATGTCCAAGCCCTCTCAATTCTCATTAGGACTCTCCTCACCATTACATTGTACAAGCTCCCATTCATGGGGTATTTGAGCTAAGTCTAAAAGAAAGGAGGAAGGAGAGCTAAAAAGGGATCCTTTACATGGAGGCTAAGCTCCCTATTTATAGACAAAGGGGGAAGGGTGCTCTCCACCCTAATGGGCCAAACGGGCCAATATTGGGCCTAATGGGCTGAAATGGGCCTAGCTGCTCGGGCTCCGTACTGGATAATGTCTTGGGCTCCTGAACAGTAATAGGTCGGGATAATATATCCCAACACAAGTCCCCCAGTTTCTTGAGTAGTGAGCGTGCGAATCTGCTCGAGAAAGTATACTCTTGCTTGCGCTCTTCCTCTGTCTAGCTGGAACCTGTGTCTCCGAATAATCATAATATATGAGTGGATGTCCACACTCCTGAACGTAATCTGCCGGTGAGGCACCCCCCTTCCCGACGGGGTCGAGCGAAGGGTGCTCCTCCACGGGCACACTCCCCCTGAATGCATCAGGCGGGAGTAAAGGACTCTGACTCGAGCTTTCCAATCGGAGAAGCTTAGAGGTCCATGCATCTATAAACCGACGTCGCGGTACTGTCAAAACATGATGCACGTGTGTATGTATGAATGTATGAGGTATGATGCATGAATGCATGAATGCATGTAATGTATGGGTACAATGTATGAGAGAAGGAATGTGAGATGTGATAGAAAGCGGTGGCTCTCATCGATAAACCGGGCATGTCAGCGCCGGGAGGCAGACGTGCTGCATAAGACGGTCATCGCCATCCTAGAAGGAATGGGCGATCCGGAGATAACTTGACACAATGGCACGGAGGGGCCGATTGTGCTGCATAAGAGATGTTCGTCGCCATCATGGAAGGGATGGGCGAGCCGAACATGAGCCAGACACGATGGCACAGAGGCGCTGATCGTGCTGCATAAGACGTTCGTCGCCACCCTGGAAGGGATGGACGAGCTGAACGTGAGCTGGGTGCGATGGCGCTGAGGGGCCGATCGTACTGCATAAGACGGTTGTCGCCATCCTGGAGGGAATGGGCGAGCCGAACCGTGAATCTGGACACGATGGCGCTGAGGGGCCGATCGTGATGCATAAGACGTTCGTCGCCACCCTGGAAGGGATGGACGAGCTGAACGTGAGCTGGGTACGATGGCGCTGAGGGGCCGATCGTACTGCATAAGACGGTCGTCGCCATCCTGAAGGGAATGGGCGAGCCGAACCGTGAGTCCGGACACGATGGCGCTGAGGGGCCGATCGTGATGCGTAAGACGTTCGTCGCCACCCTGGAAGGGATGGACGAGCTGAACGTGAACTGGGTACGATGGCGCTGAGGGGCCGATCGTACTGCATAAGACGGTCGTCGCCATCGTGGAGGGATGGACGAGCCGAACCGTGAATCTGGACACGATGGCACTGAGGGGCCGATCGTGATACAGGAAAATAGTGATGATCATCTCATGGCCCTCGGCCCGTCAGTGAGTGGTAATCGTCTCACGGCCCTCGGCTGTGCTGGTGATGTGTCAAGTCTCTCTCCTGATTGGCTGTGAGAAGCCGATCGTCTGTCAGGACTCCATCCGGGAAGGCACGGTGAGTCTGATATACATCTGGGCGATGTCCCTCCTACCTGATCTGAGGAGCCAATCTTCGTTCATCTACCGTATCCGTGGTCCTATGTACGGACCGCTAAGCGGTGTACACTCGGTACGCAACAGACTCCGGTGGAGAACTGGTCCTTCGTGTCTGATCCATGGAGCTGGTCTTCGTTCGTCTACCGTATCCGTGGTCCTATGTACGGACCGCTAAGCGGTGTACACTCGGCACGCAACAGACTCCGGTAAAGAACTGGTTCTTCGTTCTTCCCAAGTCTCGTGAGTACTGGTCTCCTGATTTCGCAGGAGACGTTCGTCATCCCAACTATGAGAAGAAACAGGTTTACCCACGTCGGGTTTCCCTATTCTTCGTTCGTCCCTGTCGTGGTCCTACTAATCTTCTTACTTCGAAGAAGACGTTCGGTCATCCAACGATCGCAAGGAGGATCAGGTTTATCCACGTCGGGATTCCCTATTCTTCGTTCGTCCCTGTCGTGGTCCTACTAATCTTCTTACTTCGAAGAAGACGTTCGGTCATCCAACGATCGCAAGGAGGTCACTGGTTTATCCACGTCGGGATTCCCTGCTTCGTCGTCCCACGCCCGTGGCCCTACTAGCCTTCTGCTTTGGCAGAAGGTGTTCATCGATCCACAGGAAATGGGAGGAACTGGTTTATCCTACCGAGGTTCCCTTTGGTACGTCTAGCCTCCCCCACGTTCCTACTAACCTCCGCGTCGGGAGACGTTCGTCATACGCGGCGAAGGAAGATCAGGCATACCTCGTCAAGACTCCCTCTCTCATAGGAGCTTCTCTCTCCCCTTCTCCCCATCTTTTCTCTCTATCTCTTTTTTTTTTTGAGGGAGGAAAATACGTTCGTCGGTTTCCAAGAATGACCACAAGTGATGTCACACATAATGGTGGTGGGATACCAAAACGAATAAAATGACGAGGCGATGGCAAAGCTGGGCGTCATGTGAAGGTGATGATCACCCTCCTGGAGGGGAGGGGTGAGTCCGATCGCCAATTCAAGAAGGTCGGCATTGGGAGCCGATAATGATCATAATGTCGCTGAGCAGTCGGTCTTGATAAGGAGATGACAACGGTGTTGAGATCAGGCCGATATATCTGAGCAACGGCCCTCATCCGCGCAGCGCGGGGATGAAACCGGTCTTCAAAAGATAAAAATGTCGTGCCGAGAGGCCGAACATAACATGATATGATAACATCGACAATGAGAGGCCGATCTGAGAAAAACAAGCAACGGCCGTCATCCACGAGGAGCGAGGATGAAACCGATCTTCAAATATGGAAAGCACGCCGAGCCGAGAGGCCGGTCGTGATATAATGGTGTCGGCAATGAGAGGCCGACCCGAAATCAGGATGGTCTCACGGCCCTCGGCCGTGATGGTCTCCTCTAGGCCCTCGACCTCTGAATGATGGATGATCGTCCCCGGGCTTTGGCCTCCGGGTGATGGATGTTCGTCCCCGGGCTTTGGCCTCCGGGTGATGGATGTTCGTCCCCGGGCTTTGGCCTCCGGGTGATGGATGTTCGTCCCCGGGCTTTGGCCTCCGGGTGATGGATGTTCGTCCCCGGGCTTTGGCCTCTGGGCGATAGATGATCGTCTTCGGGCCCTCGGCATCCGGGGTGAAAGATGCTCGTCCACGGCCCTTGGCTCTTGGGGTGGAAGATGCTCGTCTCCGAGCCCTTGGCCTTTGGTGGTCTTCTTTAGACACTCGGCCTCTGGGATGGAGATGTTCGTCCCCAAGCCCTTGGCTCCCGGGTGATGGATGTTCGTCCCCGGGCTTTGGCCTCCGGGTGATGGATGTTCGTCCTCGGGCTTTGGCTCTTGATGGTCTTCTTTAGACGTTCGGCCTCTGAGGAGGAGATGATCGTCCACGGCCCTTGGCTCTTGGGGTGGAAGATGCTCGTCTCCGAGCCCTTGGCCTTTGGTGGTCTTCTTTAGACACTCGGCCTCTGGGATGGAGATGTTCGTCCCCAAGCCCTTGGCTCTTGGGGTGGAAGATGCTCGTCTCCGAGCCCTTGGCCTTTGGTGGTCTTCTTTAGACACTCGGCCTCTGGGATGGAGATGTTCGTCCCCAAGCCCTTGGCTCCAAGGTTCATTTTGAGCATCATCTCTTATCTGATTATGATCTTTATCTGCACAATCAACATAGTAACGCGGCCAAATGGCCAGACAATATGTATATGTGCACATTTTTTTTTTGTGTGTGTCGGCTTGGGGCTCTTCCGGGCGTGATGGTCGGCCTCGGGGTACAATGACCCTCGGCTTGGCCCGTCACCCAGCCTCTAATTATTAAATTAAAATGATGGTGGATGCGCATCCCTGAGCTTCACTAGGCATTATTTATTTCGGGACATTTTAATCCCTAAATAATTGTAGTGAAAATGCTAGCAATGATAGCGATTTAAACTATTCACAATTAAATGTACCAACTCAAAAGTAAGCACTTAACTTTTAGAATGATGGAGACGTTCGGCCAGCTAGTATTTAGGTGAAATGAGATTGAGCTCTCTTTCCCGATTTTGACTTAGTCAAAATTTCCCTAAGGAAATTGGGCTTCCGTTATTTGGCTCAATCTTGCCAAGTGGTCTGCTTAGGATCATATAAACTACCAACGGCTTGGTCTCACTCTGGGACATTTTGGTGTGGGTTTGGCTTCGGACGAGCTGCGAGTAAATTAATCAGCTGTGCCTTTCCTTTCCCCGCGGCAGCAAAAGGATCGTGCTTCGTGCAATTGAGATGCCTCTGCGGTGGCCTGTCGTTTGCGCCGAGGCTTATTCCGTTCATCTTCTCACAAACCCGGACGGCAATCCGGCCAGTTAGAGCCGTGTCCAGGAGGAGTCGAGGTGGTCCCCCCATTGCCCAGCCTCCTTGAAATTGCGCACCTGGAACTGCCCTGGAGGCCGAGCGGCGGTGAGAGCCTGCGTCCAGCCAACCCTGACGTGTGTATGAGCCGAGGCTGGTCCAAGAGCAGAGTGGTGATCTCATCACCAACAAGAGAGGCTGTAATTGATGGAATGGAACTCAGTCCGGCCGGTGATCTTCGTTTTGGTGTGATCGGAATTTCCTGAGTGGTCTGCAACAGCCTGAGTATTTGGGAAAGTCGGACGAGCGGCCCTTATTCCGGAGTATCCAGAGCGTGCCGCGGACAGTGAGCCGAACGAGCTTCAGCAACTCCCACTCGGCCGGAGTTGCAATCCATTTAACGGCTGACAGACTTAGATCGGGACCTAGCATCACTCCCACTCGGCCTGCCCGAACGAGCTTCAGCAGTACACTCCAGGACGAACGGGTCCTTAGTTGGCGTTTTGGATGCCCGCAGGACTTCTCCTTTTGTGCCAACAGCAGGTCGGATGGGTGCCCTATCCATGCAATCTCTTCCCTTTTCCCGCACGTCGTATTAACATGTATGGAATACTCCGTAAGTTCTTTGATGGTATGGCTGTTGGCCCACACGTGATGTGGCCCTCTACACCTTGCACACCACCACACGTTACAGTGGATTAGTTGTGATTTGACATCACTTAAAAGCCTTTGCTTTAATTCCCATAGAAAAGTGTTCTGGAAATATATTTTGCATCTGTCGGCTTCAGATCCATTTTTCCTCCTCTTCCGAGTCGAAAATCAGTTGTTTTGCGTATGAAATTTGGGTAGAACATATGAATCTTTTTGGACAGATTCCCACAGACGGCGCCAGTGTTGAGTTTAATCCAAAACGATATAGTAAATATATATGTATAAATGTGTATGAACAACTCAGTTTTTACGTGGAAACCCGAAAGGGAGAAAACCACGGGACTTTTTAGGCTAATGTCCAAGCCCTCTCAATTCTCATTAGGACTCTCCTCACCATTACATTGTACAAGCTCCCATTCATGGGGTATTTGAGCTAAGTCTAAAAGAAAGGAGGAAGGAGAGCTAAAAAGGGATCCTTTACATGGAGGCTAAGCTCCCTATTTATACACAAAGGGGGAAGGGTGCTCTCCACCCTAATGGGCCAAACGGGCCAATATTGGGCCTAATGGGATGAAATGAGCCTAGCTGCTCGGGCTCCGTACTGGATAATGTCTTGGGCTCCTGAACAGTAATAGGTCGGGATAATATATCCCAACAGAGATTTTTTTTAAGGTTTACAGATTCTTAAATATAATATATTAACATTGAATTACTCCAACAAATTAACTAATAAATACTATTTAAACAATTGAAAAGTTAGGAAGGACCATGGCCCTCTACCCCAAGGGTAGGTCCGTCCCTGGTGTTAGTAACGGAAGTGTTGAAGGATGTTGTTTTTAGAAATAATTACATAAATATGACCAAAATAAAGATGGTTTATAAAAATATGACTAGAACTAGAGTATTAATGAAATCATAGTAATTCATGTTCATGTTTTGAACGTAAGTTACTACAACACTACGTTGTAGTAATGAATAGTCATACTTATGTAAATAAGTTTTATTTTAGTAATATTCTTGTAAAAAACCCTTGTTTTTAACACTTGTTTGAGAGAAAACTTTAAACAAAATTGGAGTGTTAGTAAGTGTTTAAAAGTGTTAAGGAAAACCTCCCTAACACTTCAATATGTAGCTTTTTTAACACCCCGAATTGGAATGTATGGAAGTGTTTGACAAACCTTGCCCTTCAATATTTCATATTCAACGCTGGCCTAAACACCATTCTTCTTGTCCGACTTGCAGAGCAACCCATCGGTAATGAGTTTTGATGGCCGCCAATCGAGCCCACGATGATTACTGGGTCAACATGTATGCAGTGTACTCTATACGTTAATTATGAGAAATTACCCTAAATAGGACTAAAAGCACTTCTATATTCCAAAAAAAGGACTGTCATGTTTTTAATCCCAAAATAGGACTAATTACTGCCATATTTTGGCAGTACTACGCTTTAAAGATAACAGTATTTTCCAAACTTGACACTAATTACTCTTATTTTGGGAATAAAAACATGACAGTCCTATTTTGGAATTTTCAAACTTATTTAGTCCTTGGAAACTTTCCCGATAATTATCTGATCGAATTTTATTGCACAAAAACCACTCTTTTGATTTCCAACAAATACGAAAATCTAATACGGAGTAAGAATTAAAAATGTCCTTTCAGTTTAACCCACCAAAGGAACGGCCCAGAGCAAATTGATTTTAAGCTAAAGTGAATAAGCTTTGTTTAATCCACCAAATGTACACAACAAATTGACTTTAAATTGATTTTAAAATCAACCAGAGCATCGGTTAATTATAAGCAATAAGCTTTGTTTACCTGGGTATGATGCTTTCCTCGATTTCAAAGTGAATTTAAAATTGAAGGCACGGTTGAACATAGAGAACTCATTAGGAGAGGCTAAAAGATGTTTTAAACCTCATTGATGTGTGGTGCAGCAGATGTTTTAATTGTCATTGAAGAAGGAATGAATTTCGTTTGGAGAAATAAAAAGAAAATGGGGTGGATTTTTCTAATTATGGGTACTTAATAATTTAAAAGGTACGCGGATAATTTTGTCAAATTAAACGAAAACACTTACATTACTGACACTTTCATTACTAGCACTTTTTAACATTTTCATCCAAACAGGCCATTGGAGAGCCAATAGTATTTTACTTTGCGGTGTGGCATGGAATTGGTCACTCAATTCCTGAGGAACAGATGTTTTGATGATTTTGAATCGTTGGAGCTATGATGACGACATGACCTTCAGGTCTATCTTCAAACTTTAATTTTACAATTTTCATTTATTCGTTTACATTTTCAGCTTGTGTATTTAGCAATAGTATCATTGCAGCCGTTAATTTTAACATCAAGATACTACGTATGATACAACGTATTAATTTATGCTTTTCAACTTAGAGCTTGCTGGTATAACAATACCAACTAATGGGATGTTATATAGCTCTCAAGGCCAAGTTTCGTCTGCTTAATTGCTTACTTTAGCTAAAAAAAATTAGAACATGGACTGAGAAAATATATTGTAGAAGTATGAAATGAATAACACAAAAACTGTGCTGCCTTCGCAACAAGACGGATAGGTTTTTGACTTTCAGAGTTTAGCAGCTGCCAGCCGGATTTGATTGATCTATTACCGGTGTTGGATCTATAGAGTCCGTCTGGTAGCACGAAAATCGGCTGAAATTTCTGAAGTTCTGGCTGAAGTGGCTGCATTGGCTAATTCTGCTGATTTAAGAAAAAATTATTTTTAAAATATATTTTATAAATAAAATAAAGAAAAAAGTATATGTAAAAATAGCTAAAATGGTCATCTACAATAACTTCAGCCAATAAAGCCACAGAAAAGTAACTTCAACCTTACTTTTTCTGCTTATTACACAATTCAGCCCGCGCTAAAACAAAAATTACGTGTTTGGTGAAAAAGTTGGCTGATAAGCGTGATAAGCCGAAAAATGGTATTACCAAACGGCACCATAGTCTTTACACATGTAGGTTGTTTTACCTTCAGGGCAATTGTTGTTTATTTTTTTTTTATCCATCCTAGAGCCATTGATTTGTGTGATATGAATGCTCAGCCAATTGTATGGAAGCCTGAACCTGAGGGGGAATTCACACTCAAATCAGCATATAATGAAATAAGAGAGAGTTCTGGATCAGCTTTTTCATTTAAACACACTTGGCACAAGCAGCAGAAGCTTAATGTTAAGCTTTTTCAGTGGAAAGTCATGCATAGGTTTATTCCTATAACTGATAATTTAGCTAAATTTCAAAGGATTATTCTTCCCTCCATATGCCCCATATGCAGGAAGCACAGTGATAGCATGAACCATGCTTTTTTCAATGTTCTAAGGTTTTTGATGTTTGGAAATATTTTATGGGCATTTTTGAAATACCAATTATCTCTAACAGGAGTTCTATTAGAAATGTTTTCATCAACTGGTGGTTTCAGGCTGGCCACAAAACTATGATAGATGTTTTCAAACATAATCTCCCTGGAATAGTATGTTGTCACATTTGGAAAGCTTATGCAAATATGGTTTGGGGTCAAGGGGCTGTATCTTTCCCTACAACTGAAAATCTTATCATTCAAATTAAACTTTATACTCAAACTTGGGTTCAGAGCTGGGGGAAACTGAAATTCAGATCTGTGGACAATATTCTCTATGAGGAAAAGTTGATTCCATATAATTTCAAGACAGGAAGTTCTAAGGTTGCAATCGCGAAGTGGATTAAACCTAAAGGTCAGCTTAAATTAAATATTGATGCATCTTTCTCACCTGATGGAGCTGCTGGAGGAGCTATCGTGAGAAACGAAAGGGGAGAAATGTTGTTTGCTCTGTGTTTTCCGTTGTCTGCAGATTCCAGTCTCGAGGCGGAGCTAAAAGCTATTGTCACGGCAACGAAATGGGCTCTGAGTTCCGGCTATGGTGATTTCATGGTTGAATCGGATGCATCGAGAGCGGTCGAGCTGATTTCAGCTAAGAGAGAAGGTAGATGGTATTCGTTGGTTCAGGAGATGGCTCTTTCGACTTCTCAGACACAGGTGGGCTTCAGACACATATGGCGAGAAAGGAATTGGGCTGCTCATTACATTGCAGCTTCCAAGTCGGCCCAATTCAGTGTTATCAACTCTATTAATTATTTATCAGACTTGAGCAGAAAGACATATTTTTTAGACTATTTTGGCATTCCGTCTCTTAGATATGTTTCATTTTGTTATTGATCTTTCATTTATTTATCTGCTGAGAGGTATTGGCTTGGTCCCCCTCTCTGTTTGTAATTGCTCCTTTTTTTAATTAAATTACGGCAAATGTTCCCCGGCGTTTGCCCCACTGATTTTGGTGGTTTGCCTACCGGGTTTTAAAAAAAAAAGATCTGTTGGAGGCAGAATCTCAGAATTTCACTAAGTCCATTATCTTGAACCCCTCGGCAGCTATACACACCGGAGGCTCAAGCGATTCGCACACTCGAAGGTTCACTACAGCATCTATTGAAACTTCGTGAAAAAATGACTATGTCCATAAATGGGGACCCTTCGGGGGGCAATTCTTCACCTACAGGCTTGTGGCCGACGGCCCCCCCGAACTACTTGGCAAGGACCTAAAGTTGCATTATGACCCGAAGGCTCAACAACTACTGGTGGCCTAGGATGAAACTAGCTTGGAAAACTTCCTAAGTGTGATTCACTCGAGCCCTCGGTCCTACAACCACAACCCGGAGGCAACCCCAACGGTTCATTGCCAAAGACCTCAACAATAAGCCCCCGGCTATCCCAATATACAACCGATGGCTCATGGCTGGGCTTTTTACTTAGAAAATTTTCTAAGTCCACTACTACATGCCCTCGGTGAATCTACATGGCAGTCGGAGGCTTCTGGTCAATTTTCACTTGGAAAATTTTCTAAGTCCACATCAAGGGGTCCACTATAGCAAGGGGCTCAGTAAACTCCTGCGTCCGAAAGGTTCTGCTCAAAGTCTTACTTAGAAAATTCTCTAAGTCCACAAACTTGCTGCTTTCGGGAAAACGAGAAGAACATACATTCATGCACAAAAGAAAAGTATATAAAGGGAATAAAGCTAAAGGAAACAAAGCATGGGCATACATTCATCCCGAAGGCGGAACATTCATCATCAAAAGATTTGAGAGTACAAAAAATGTTTTTACAGTACATGGCCGAAGCCGGAACCTACAGACTATTACAAGGTGTGAACTTAGAAAACTTCAAGTTTGATCTTCTTGACCCGCATCACCCTTCGGCTTGGAAGCAGCATCATCCTCGACTTCTTCACCGCTGCCTTCGCCCATCAGCTCAGAATCCTCTAGATCCGGCCTCTCTTCTCCCTCGGGGAGGGGAACTCTTACATCTGGCTGCAGAGGGGGGAGGCCATATGCCGCTAGTTCAAATTTCTTCGGATCAATCTTGAGGTGCCTGGCTAGCCTCCGGTAGATGAGGTTTTGAGTGAAAAACTTGCCACCATCATAATAGTCTTTGCCCTTGCGGGCTAACCATTCACCGTCGGGGCCTTTCACCCAGGCATCCACCTTCTGCTCCACCACCGAGGCCACCCACCCCTCGTGCTCCGCCGCCGTCCAGCCCCCGGCAAGAAAAGCCTCAACCGCCTTCCTCCTAGCATCAGCCACTGCCTCGGTCCTCTCAATCTCGGCGGCCTCGGCGGCGGTCTTGGCAGCAACAGCAGCGACTTCTTCGGCGGTAGCCTTCCCCTTAGTCTCGGCATCCCTCAGCCTTTGCTCATTGCCATCCCTCTCCAATCGGAGGGTCTCCTCGGCATCGGCAAGCCTTCTCCGGAGGGTAGAGATCTCCTCATCAGACTTTTTTAAGGCCTCGTCTGCCTGAACCTTTGCTATCCTCAGCTGTTCCACCCTCCGGGCCTGCTCCGAGGCGGCCAAAACAGCCTACAAATATGACAAAGGGTAAAGAAGACGTTAAAATCAAATTATCAACCCAAGTTGGAGGGTAGGCAAGGAGAAGGCTCACCCTAGTGCTGTAGCTCGCAACTTTGTAGTCAAGGATGTCGTCCCCGAGGCGGGCCAGAACGGACCTGTCCTTCGGTGCCATCACCCCCCTCATGAACCCAACGGGGTGAAGGGTGCCATGAAGAAATGAAGTCCCCGACTTGACAGGGAATTGGATGATCTCCGTCGGGCGGACTTCCTCGTCTATGGGGGATGGAGGGGAGCGAGGAGGAGGAGTCGCCGAAGGATTCAAAGATGGTTGCTCCTCGACAATCACAATAGGGGCATCCTTCTTCCCAGAGGCCCCCTTTCTCTGCTTCTTGTTCTCCGGGGGAGCGCCTTCCTTCCCGGAGTTCTTTCTCTTAAGCTCCTCCCCTTTGGAGCCCCCGGCACCAGCACCGGCGTCAACAGTTTTGGAGGGACCCTCGCCCTCCGGGACCTGAGACGCCCCATCCTTCTTGAAGAATTCATCGACGGGTTTCTGAACCCCCGTCTCCTTCTTCTTCGGCTCCTTGGCCAGCTTCTTCTTCAAAGCAGCAAAGTTGGAGATATCCATGCTAACACCTGCAAAACAACAATGAAGTCAGACCGAAGGGGTCAACTACAAAAGAAGAGAAATAAGGAAATACAAAAATCCTAAGTACAATAAAGCAGACCCTCCGGTAACTACCTCCAATGCTACCGAAGGCTCTCTCAAGGACAGGGTATTGTTCGTCCTTTTCGCCTAGAAAACGGTACCGCCGAAAGCCTAAGGCCAGCAAGTCTTCTGGGAGAGTGGAGTCCTTGACGGTCACATGCTTTGTGGCCCCCGGCGGCAAAGCGGCAATCTTCTTCCCCTCCCTCTGAAGTGCAGCACTTCCCACCTTCGGGTGCCGCCTGAAGTGGTTGCGCAGTTCCCTCGGGAATGGATTTTCTGCCATCTTGATGTAGCAGAAGCGGTCCTTCCATCCCTTGTGGGACGAAGGCACATCGTCAAAATCCTCCAGGGGGCGAGTTGCTGCAGGTTCGCGAACCCTTCGGAGTTCGTGTGCCCCCCCCCCCCCCCCCCCCGGCAGAGGTTGAAGCTTTGGAAGAAAAGGTCAAGGCTTGCGCAGTTACCCCCCGGGATCGGCAGAGTTGCAGAAATCCGGTGATGTAGGAATGGCTGTTCGGGGTTAGCTGACAGGGGGCTAACCCCACGTACCTAAGGTACTCAAGAAAAAATGGGTGCAGCAGGAACCGAAGGCCCATGGAAACCGACAGCACATGGACCGCAAAACACCCCTCCGGAGCCTGGGACAGGAGATCATTGGGTCCCGGTTCGATCACAGTCGCCGAAGGGCCAACATGCAGTTGGGTAACGTAGCACTCCGCCCTATCTGCTCTCGACTTCAGTGCGAGGGCGGCGGTATTCAGCCAGGAATGCCCCTCGGGTATTCCTACGAGTTTCCCACAATCCACTGCGGTCTGTTTGTTCTTCTGAGGAGCCTTCGTCTTCTTCCTCTTCTTGCCGGGAGCTACACTCAGGGGTTCCGGATCTAACGCCCGGGAGGTACTCGCCTCCCCAGTACCGCGAGAGGGCAAGACGGCGACAGTTACTTGCTGCCTTTCTTTCTCCTCCTCCTCCTCGGCTACTTGAAGCGCGAGGGCCATCTCCTCGTCTTCCGCCACCTGCTCAAACTCCTCCGCCTCCAACTCAGTCCGAAGGGTGTCTTGGACTTCCTCGGCGATAGCAGCATCATTATTGGCCGACGATTGTTCACTTGAGGACTCCACCTCGGAATAGCTCTCCGACTGAGCCGGGGCCTCTACGGAAACATTCTGGGAATCGCTTGCTGATGACATCCTCCGGTATCGAGAGGGTAGAAGCTTTAAGAGGAAGAAGGAGACTAGGGATTTCCTAGGGAGGCTCTAACACTTAATCTAAGAGCAGTAGTGCAAAGTATGCTAGAAGAATCGAAGAACAGTGAAGAACTGACCTCGAAACTTGGGGTTTGATCGAACAAGGCTTTCTCTCTCTAGAAAACAAAAGGGCAGAGCTTCGCTTCAGAATGAACGCACAAGAAAAATGAATCCGGCCTTGGGGTATTTATAGACTTCCGGCCTAGAAAGACGGGCCTCGATTCGAAAAGCCCATCATTACGGGCCGCCGCCTTAGCCAATGGATGGCTCCCACCCACCTTCAGCCAACGCCAGCCAGCCACGTCGACCCCTCTTCCAACGGCCATATTGCAACGGCTATATTTCAGAAACACTAGAGCGCCCTCGAATGATAACCTCCGGCTATCACTCGCCGCAGCCTTCAGCCGACGAACTCCAACAAGGGCCTTCGGACTGTCAGCAGTATAATCCTTCGGCTTGTCAATGTTGCCACTCCCCAATGCATATGTCGAATGATAGCCCGCGGCTATCAACTAGGAAGGGCCTTGAGCAAACAGCGATATAAGCCATCGGCTTATCAATATTACCATTTATCAGCACATACTTATACGACAGCCTTCGGTTTGTCAATGTTGCACCCTCGAGCATGCAACAGTGTAAGCCTTCGGCTATTACTGTTTACCCGCCCCCGGGGAGTTCATCAACACAACTACTCCTTTTCCCTCAAGTACCTTTCGGGAAAAGGAGTGAGGGACTCCGGGATACACCCCTCGGGAATCACGCAGAACAAAATTTCCTCAGGCAAAATTTGCAATTGACGCATACAGCCTCCTGGCAAACATCAAAGTGGAACCCCTCGGGTACACTTTTCCTCAGAAAACCCTCGACATGTGAGGGACTGGGGGAAGACTTCGGCAACCAGCAGAAGACAAGTTCTCAAACAGAGGCACCCAACGAAATGATGAAGCCTCCAGAAGAATCAACACAACTACTCCTTTTCCCTCAAATACCTTTCGGCAAAAGGAGTGAGGGGCTCCTGATGGAGTATATGGCCCAGGGACCCCCGACCCATAGACTCCTACTTCTCCTACACAACTCCATGGAGCCCAGGGAACATCTCAGGCCCAAAGGCAACGGCACAAGCGTCAAAGAGGCCCAGAATACACGTTGGGGTGCCTTCGGTCTCCCTCGCCGAAGGCTCCAAAACTCACAGGATAGCCTTTCTTGGACATACGAAGCTACTGGGAGAAAACGGCGGAAAACAGGAGCCTTCGGCATCATCAAGCCCTCGGCATCAGAGGAACCTCCGGCCGAACCAAGCCTCCGGTCACGTAGGGCCTTCGGCTACACAGAGGTCCTCAGTCACATGGAGCCCTCGGCTACACAAGGAGCCTTCGGCCAAACATGCTCAATCATCGAAGATTCCTTTTGGAGACAGCCAACCACCGCATTTAATGCAACGTCACATCCGCCAACCGCATTCAATGCGGTGAACGTA